ATTTATTCGTTGATCCCGTTTCATTTTCTTATAAGAATTTCTATGCACATGTACATATGTATGAAATTGCAACTCATACGAAAAGTGTGTTAACCCAGTAGGAAATCCTACAAGAACTCGCGACTTGCGAAAGTTTGAGTACATTCAAATTGTACCCAGTATCGAACACAAAATCACCCAATAGCGTACATCGAGGTACTTAACATCGAAGAATTTGTTCCTGGAAAGTTTGCATCACCGCAAAATATTTCGTATGTAGAGAACACGGGGTAACCTAACCTAAAATACGCAAGTACTTGAGCATACCACAAGGGAGCAATATCACTAGCACCAACAAACACGGGGATATAAAAATACTACAATACATAAGTATTGCCAAAAATCGTGAGTTATTTCTACATAAATGTCTAAAACATATGAATATGTGGTTTCATATACGTAGCGGTAATTGTGAATACCTCATACGTTAAAAAATATACACAGTGTATATATGTAAATACGTACCTATGTAAACTCCAATTACTGTGCCTACTTTGCATATACAGTATATTTTGCTTAGCTGCACATACTTCTTTGCACGAAAAACTTTTGCACCTAACCGAAAAAGGCACTTAAGCGAATGTTCTTTACTACTTCAATGAGGAAGGTATCCGAATCCCTATGAAACCAAATAATGGAGAAGCACTTATCACGTAGAAAATAATGCAGGCGAAATTTTTTTTCGAATGGTATCTTATTATCTATATAACTAGAAAAATTGATAGCCATTTCCTTTGTTCTGCGATATGAGTAAAATAAATAAAAGCTTGTAAAATTAGGTAATTGTAGGCCAGTGCAGGTAAACGTAATACTTTATTGCACAATTTTTAAGGCAGCTATCGCCAATGTGCACGTATGTTGAATGCATCTATCGGAGCATTTTGGGGTAGGTATCTTAAATGTGCACTTAAGCATAAAGGCAGCAAAGCAAAATATACTGTACTCTCAATTCCGCTCTCCCTAGTTTTGCTTTGATTATTTCGCGTGTAGACATATACATACATACATACATATGCAAGAATGATAGAATACAAGATTGCGCCGATCAGAGAGGATTTTTGAGAATAACTTTTGTGTGACGTCACACTGGTGCAATTGCGAGAGAGAAATGCCAAAACGTGAGCAAGAATGGAAGAAGAAGAAAAATGTTTCAAGGAAAACGTAAACAAGTTGTACAAGTGTGACGTCATGCAAACAACGATTCTGTCAAATTCGTTAAGAGAGGAATAGCGGTCCGAGATCGGCGCAACCTTTGTATTCTCTCAATCGTGGTGTGGCTGTGTGTTTAAAACCATACGTCGTGTAGCAAATGCGCGTGCGCCTCCCAAGATATGGATCGCTATTTCCCGGATCCCGCGCGTGGAGTTCCTTTATCTACATATACGTGTATCAAGGCGACCTGAAAAATAAGTAAATAAATTTTCTTTAGGATATTGTATCCGGTAGTAGGTGACAATTTGACATTGGTTATTTTCCTTTAATCTACATATGCATGTACATACATACACATGCGTTGGCGTATGTATATATACCTGCAGATTTAAGGTTTGGGGAATAATATTAGGCAGTACTTACCTCCAGTTCCCAATTTAGCACTACACTGTTAGAGATTTGCGATCACCGGTATGTGACAATCCGGTAAAAACGGCACAATTCACAGAATTGTATAGTAACTACATGCCCTTTAAACACCGTGCATTTTTTTATTATAAAAATAACTTTAACTTTAACTTTTACACTGTTACTTCACCCGGTTATAATAACGCTAGTACCGTAACTTTTGCATCTGAACCGTTCGCCACCACTTGGGTCATTTTATACCCTATGGGCTGGCCAAATGACTCAATCGGTGTTATGTACTTACATATGCACGATGAAAACTCAAAAGAAAAACCGCTTTCACACACACACTATCAACTTTAGTTTCACCGAGCACATCGAACTTTCTCTAATTATGTTCGATCAAATACTTATACACTCACACAGTCACAGTCGGTTAATATCGAGGTTTGATTACACTACTTTTGTTCGATCCAGTACCCAGATTTACGCTCAGTTAACATAGATGCCCGATTGCCTTATGTTTGGTCCACTCCATACCCACCTACATACATTCACCTACAAAAGTATCTGGCAAGCAGCTGGCGCTACAGTGCAGTGGTTGCATTGTTGTACTGAAAGGGTTAACCCTAAATGTATAATCTACGTCTCCGAGGCGTATACGGAATTGATCTTTTTTTTTATTGTTAACACAAAATTGACTTTTTATTTTGTTGTTTTAAATAAATGTGGTTATATTTTTCATTAATAAAACTATGTTAACTATTACTTAAACTCACAACTTCAATATTCTTTAAAAAATAAGGCAGGACTAAGTATATTTCAGCTCACAGGTTATCTTTTAAGTACATAAGCCTCTAAGACGTATGTTAAGGCTTTACGTTACTCCCAAGTAGATTAGGCTTCTAGGGTTAAGAAAGCTTTAGCTTGGAAGTGTGATGTTAAATGCCTTTCACTATAAACGGCGCCAATTTTCAATGATTATTGCGTTTCGGATTACGACTAATAACAGATATTGTGAAAGGTTGGACTATACCTTAAAGATGACGGTTTTATCATGGCCCACTGCACGAAGCTTAGAGTAATGTAATGTATTTTAAGAACTTAAAAATTATCCTGGGTTATCAGGTGTCTAGTAATACAAGGTTAATTGTTGTCTTTCACGAAGTTCTTTAAATAAATTTTGAGCTAAGTACTCACCCGCATTTCGGGGGTTACTACTAGTTTTAATAAATTGTTAGTTTAATTTCCTATAAAATTTAGCTTTAGGTTTATGCATTTTAAGCATACATCGAAAATTTGTTTTAGAGAATCAATGTGAAATAATTGCAGAAACGCTTAACCGGTTTGCTAAGCAACCGAGACGTCTGCTTTTTAAATAATTTTTGTAAAACAAATCGGCAAGTACATATCGTCCCCCACGTGCCAGAAACATGAATATGTAAAGATGAAAATTTTGGGATTTTTTTATATGTCGGCCTTCCCTCCCCCCTTATTTCAATCCTCGCGACGCCCATGCTTAGTCTCTTAACGTTATCTAGTAGACCTGGACAATTAGGACAATTCACATATCCAGTGAATATGACCCTAACAAATAAACATAAAATTGTTCTATTTATATAGTTAACGGCCACTCCAATGAAAAGCATATGTATACACAAGCTCTTGGCTCAATCTACTAGCAATAAATGCGACTTCTTTATAAACAAGTAAAAAAGTCTAAGTTCGGGCGGAGCCGAACATTAAATACCCGGCGCAAGTATTAAATATACATATGTTTTTTCACCTTTCCGAAACCTACCGCTAGATGGTAAGCCGGGATGTATCAATTTTGAGAAAATTAGCGTCCTTAAATTTCGAAATATTGAAGTTTCAAGCATTTCTGAAATTTACCGTTACATAAAAAGCGGCCGATTTCAATAATTTTCAACGTTTTGCTTTTATGTGGCAAGCACAATAAAAAAACCGAGTTTGGTACAAATTGGTAGAACGGTTACCATAACGGTTTACATATATGTGATCATAAGTGGGCGGTGCCACGCCCATTTTCCAAAATTTTACCATAAACGTATTTTTCGGTAAAGAGTAGTTGCAAGCATCAATTTTTAATAAATTAGCTGTAATATTTACTGCTTTATCGAAGATTTTGTATTTCTGTAAATTACCATTATATGGGATGTGGGCGTGGTTATTGTCCGATTTTTTAAATTTTCGGCCATTTAGTATGTTGTACCAAGGCCAACGACTGTGCCAAGTTTGGAAGAAGTTGGTGTAGCGGTTACCAAGATATACACATGTAACCATAAGAAGATATACTGTGCTAAAACAAAATTGTATTCACTCCAACCTTAGGCTATTCAAAAAGCTCAGCACTTTGGATGAGGCCATGTTCCAAATTTTAGATGGAGAAGGCAATCGTTCTCCAAGGTGTATCAATCTACGATTCATGCTTGGTGGACAGGCACATAGAATATACTCTGGGGTTTCTTTCACCAGCCGACAAACCCTACAGTCCGTCTCTACAGAAAGACCCATTTAATTAAAACCGTACGTTAACTTGCAGTGTGCTGTCAGGTTGCCAGTAAGAGTTCTAAGTTCAAGGTGTCTTTTGGAGTTCCTGCTGGAAAGAGTTATGCATATCTTTGATTGTCTTATTCCCTTTGACTTCCGCCAGTAGGCAGCAATTTGAGATTATTCTCAGCTAAGTAGGTCTGCAGTGTATCCTTTAGATGTACCACAGAAAGGCTAGGGACCATGCAAACGCATATGGGCTTCACGCTTTGCGATAAAGTCAGCCCTTTCGTTGCCTTCAAACCCTTCATGGGGACGCTATAAATTTTCCAAAAATTTATAATATTCTTATTTTTCGCCAGAAAATTATTGTAAATATCAATTTTGAGTGAATTATCTTCAGTAGTTACTAAAATATCGCAGTTTTCGTATTTCTGGAAATTACCGTTATATTGGAAGTGGGCGTGGTTACAGTCCGATTTCGCCCATTTTAATGGAAACCTACATACCATATTTCGTTGAGACATCTCAATTTTTGCTCGAGTTATCGTGTACACGGACGGACGGACAGACGGACAGACGGACGGACAGACAGACATGGCTTAATCGACTTCTCTATTCATTCTGAGCATTTATGTATACATTTGTCTATATCTATCTCGATTCGTTTTGGCTGTTACAAACAACCGTTATGTGAACAAAATTAATATACCCTTGTGCACAAGTGCGCTCGGGTATAAAAACGAAACCATTTTGAAATATGAGTGTTTTACTCTCTAGAAAATATTTTATGGAACCTCACATACGCGGTTTTGCATTTTGTTGATACGCGGTTTTGTACATTAAATGACGATATACATATATGAGTACTAATACAACTTTTTTTTCAGAAATAAATGGTGCTATACTGGACTCCCGTTGCTATCTCGAAGGTGGTGGTTCGGCAGAGAGCTTTCTAGTAAATGAAGATCTTGAAGTAGGAGCAATTATTGGAAAATTACGTATAAATGGAAATCCCGATATTAAGGAAGGCGATATTGATTTAACACTTCGTGAGAAGGACGCGCCTTTAAAAATTGTTCCAAGTACTAAAGGTTTATCATTAGCCGTGGAATTAGATAAAGAAGGAGTTCGTGGCCCGTCTTCAATTTACGTCAATGTAATTTGCACTCGACGTCGATCTACCGATCCTGTGAGTGTATCATAGAAAACATGCTCATTTAATTCGTATGCACGTGAATTCGAAATTCGCAGAGTGAACATTACTGAAATCTAGGGCTGGTAGTTCTTTCCGGATTCTTTGAATATAGATACAGCCCCGATAACAAAATTAACAGATATTAACTACATATCCGGATATCCAGGTTTTAGAACCACAAATATTAATAGAATAACAATTGTTTGTGTATTAACGCAGTGTTCTATTATTCATTTTGCAACTTAATAGGCTCAGTAATTTGGTAAGCAATTTTACGAATCCGTTCAAGCACTTTTTAGAATGTCAGGATGACCAAATGGACGCATATAGCAGGCAACTGTCTTTCAACTCACCCCAGTCCTTCGAAAGACAAAAGTCTTTCGTAAGGCAATTGTCAATTCTAGCAACTATCTTGAAAGCTCTTTACTGTCTTTCGAAAGACTAATTGACAGATCTGCTAACGAGAAGGTCTTAGCGTTTTGCTGTTCGCCTTTTAGTAATGTTTTTTAAAAATTAAATTAAAAAAATATTTATAATTTTCTTTTTAAAACAATAAACACTAATATATAAAGAAAAATTAAATAAAAATAAAAAATATATAAAAATATGCAAAACGAAAATAAAGCATAAATAAATAAAAATATTTTAAAAAACTAATGAAATTTTAAAGAAATATTTATTTCTTTTTAAAACAATAAAATTTAATAAATAAATTAGACAAAACAAAAATTTTATCAAAATAAAGTAGTGTTTAAAAAATAAAAATAATTTATTTTTATTTTAAAACAAAACTCAAAAAGTAAAAGGAAATTGATTTGAAAACGAAGTTAAATTGAAAAAAATAACCCTAAAAATCAAATGAAACCAAAAACAACTATATTTTCATTTTGAAATCAGTAAAATATAACAATTAAAAGAAAATGAAATTAACACAAGAAAAAAATTATTAAAAAAGAAGAAACAAATAAAATAAAGTTCTAAAAATTAAAAGAAATGTTTTCTTATTAAAGCTTTAAAATTAAAAAATTTAGAGATACTTAACATAAAAGAATCTAAAAAAATAAAAAAAAATAAACAATTAATGTAAGTCCCTAAAAATTAAATGAAATAAAACGAATATATTTATCCTTTTAAAACATATATTTATCCATTTTTAAAATACAAAAATTATAAGGAAATGAAATTAACAAAAGAAAAACAAACCAAATTAAAAGAAGAGATAAAATAAAAAGAATTAAATGAGATTTAAAAAAATATGTTTTCTTTTCTAAAAAATTTAGTTTAAAATTCTGAAGAAAATTAAAAAAAAGAAAGAAAAAAAGTTCATTAAAATCAAATCAACTACCTATTTAGAAGAAATATATTTTGCATTTTAAAACAAAATAATATAAAAATTAAAAGAAAAATTCTGCTGGCCGGGGACTTGCCCTCGGATCTCCCGAACTGTGCTATGCTCACGGCGACTGGTTGAGCGACGCAAAGTGGCAAACGGTTAGCCCAATCTGACTGAAAATTGGTATAATGAAACTTCGAAAAATGGTCGAAAAATGGCTGCTCAAAATTTCCAATCAGGACTATATGCATTTTTGTTCACCATTTTGTATTCACTATCTTTAATATCTTTAATCTGACCATGGATTTGTAATTAAAGTCGTCGAAAACACCTGAAAAGCAGTCAAATAGGCAGCTTTATGCACTGATTTTACTTTTATCAAATTGTAAAGAGTGTATACATTACTGAAATATTGTTCTCCGTTTGGAGAAATTTGAAGCATTTTTTGTAGGCTTCTTAACCCTTTGCTGTCCCTTAAATTTTCTTTTGTTTAACTTTTTTGAGCGTCATAAAGAATATGGTAACCGGAGGAATCATTTTTTATATTTTGTATAAGGTCATATCTATATGTAATATAAAAATCCTAAAACATTGTCAAAATTATTTACAAAGCGTAGGTACCTATAAATGAAAAATTCATTAAAATTATAAAAAAAATCCTTTACTAACAATATACCAATTTACCCAATTTTTCAGGGACCCAATATATTCAGCTAATTAGACAAAATATGAAAAAATGGTGTTTAAGTTTTCATCTTTTTGAATTTTTTCCGCACAGGTACATAGTGCGACGTAAGCTAAGTGATATACTACAAGTGCCTTCTCTTAAAATAGCTTTTCTTCACGAGTTNTAAAATATGAAAAAATGGTGTTTAAGTTTTCATCTTTTTGAATTTTTTCCGCACAGGTACATAGTGCGACGTGAGCTTAGTGATATACTACAAGTGCCTTCTCTTAAAATAGCTTTTCTTCACGAGTTTTTAATGAGAGAGATTTGTTTTCTAAGACATTTGTGCTAAAACAAGAAAAGTTTTTCAAACTATCTTGCCATCTGTCTTTCATTTGTCTTACGAAAAACTATCTGAAACACAATTGCCCTGTTAATTGGATATACGGGTTTTGTCTGAATATCGATCCTTTTTGCGCAAAATAATGATATGTTACAAAAACCAAATTTTACAGGAAAGTGCTTTTATATTTTTCTCTGTTTTGGATAGCACCATCAATATATATAAAAGTTAAGATAACCTGAGATAATTGAGATATATTACTAAATGTGAGATTTTTCTTGTAGAAAGGTCTTCACATTCTATTTTGAAATAGTACGATAATTTCGATCACAAGAAACAATTGATTGCCACCTACGATAAAATTTACAGTAAATTTTTGAGGAAGCTATTGGTATTTAAGCCGTAACATTTGAACAGGGGATGCGTAATGGGGTGTAAAACAACGTTGCATCAAGCGAATTTCGTAAAAAATGTAACATACGATAATTTCGCACAAAGAGGTCGATATGAGCATAATCCCAGCCCTACTGAACACGTTCGTAATGAGTAAGGAGTGGATTTCCATGCATTACAAATTTAAAAATATGCGCACATAATATGCATCCTAAATTTGAAAATATTCAGTTATAAGTAAATACCATTTTTAAGAAAATTTACGATGAAGTACGGCCACACTTACATAAATATACATATATATATACACTTTCACCACAATTCACGTTGAAGTTTGGTTTAGTCTTAAATAACCGGACGAAATCGTTATGCCCGTGAAGAAGTTCTTGCGGCAACAAGGTACGCTGATGAATCGTCCTTGAAGCTGTATCAAGGTAGCCAACTCATTCTTGAGAATTCCCCGATTTTGAAAATGAAATTCTCTGATTTTGCCCGAAATTTCGTAAAATTCCCCACCCATAGACATCTCCTTACTTAAAACAAAAATAAAAAATTATGTATTTTGATATACTACTGGTATTTCTGTTTATTTTCTTTTTAAGCGTAATTTATCTATGCATTGATAAACCAAACCAAACTTTTATAAAGTTATTTGTTAACACAAAGAATGAATAATATTTATGTTGATAATATTTACATATGTACATGCAGTGGTCGAAAAAATTTTACTCGCACCAATTATTATTATTTTTATTATTTAATTTGAGTTATTTTTTTTTATAAAAATATAGTTTATTCTTTAACAAAAACCGTATAAATCCAAGTTTTAAACTTTGTGCAATATTTGAAAAAAATTCAACAAACTTCCATAAATGTTTCGAGCTTTTTAATTGAATTTTCCAGAAATATTTTGAGTATGCAGTTTTGTAGCCCACTCAATTCTAGAATAATAAAGTGTGAGTTTCAAATGGCCAAAAATTTCGTTTTACGATTTTTCTGAGTTGTTGCGGTTTTTTTTCCATTGAAAATAAATTATGTTTATTCGCTACATGAAAGCAAATGCAAAGAAAGTTCTAAAAAATCAACGGTAATTTTTAGCCATTTCAGCCGATTCCCCACGCAAACTGAAATTCCCCGCAAATCGGGGAATTTTCCACGAGTTGGCTTCCCTGAGCTGTATAGTATAGTTAGTGGCAATTTCAAAATGGGGGAGTATCATTGGTCCACAGAAATCTAATCTACACAGACTTATTTCAGACGAAACACCATTAATGTCTTACAATTTTATTTGTAGGCATTCATCAAGAATTGTCTTTACTCTGTNGTCATTGGTCCACAGAAATCTAATCTACACAGACTTATTTCAGACGAAACACCATTAACGTCTTACAATTTTATTTGTAGGCATTCATCAAGAATTGTCTTTACTCTGTTTAGTCGTCGTAAATCAAGGACCGCAATGGTTATGCTGGTAGATTTAACCGTGGTAACTTGACTTTGATGCCTGGTGTCTCTTGACGATTTTTAGCAATAACTCGACTCCAGCGCCGCCTTGCGTATTTTTTGATCTGTATACATCTTTGGTCTCGGTAGGGTTAAAATTTGGTAAGCTGTAACGCATAGCCCAGCAGAAAATTTCGAAGGGCTCAGCATGTGTTTTTCAGCAGAATATTTGTGTGTTTACTTGCTCTTGCAGATGGTTGCATGCATTTACTTTCTGTCTCCACAGGCAAAAGTTTGTATCTTGATAGTGTTATCTGGCAAAATTTTGCCAATGAAGACCGCATTAGGGATGCAAGTCAAAAAAATACATCGATGTTTTTTTCGATTCGATACATCGAAACATAACATCGATGGATATCGATGTATCGTATGAAAACATCGATATTTTCGATGCATCGAATGAAAATACAGTTTATTTCAATTAAAAATATACAACAAGAAAATGAAACAATCGTAACTTCGATAAGTGTATAAGTGAAATGTATTAATTGAATTAAAGAGTTATAAATCGCAGTTTTTTCTGTTCTTTTGAGAAGCCTTTGAAAAAAATTTGGGTATGTACGGAAGTGGCGACAATTGTTAAATGTTTATAAGCATAATGAAATATTAGTGTGGTTCATAAAACGTCGCAAAGTGGCATTTTTGGCGAAATGATAATATTGCGAACAAAGTTGTATGAACGACCTATCGCAACTACGGATTGCAAATGTAAAATTTTTTAAGAATGCCGCGCCTTATAGAAAAAGAAAAGTTTT